CCAAAGGGGTCGCGACCCATAGGTTGAGAACTGCTGCTCTAGAGTAAGGGCCCAAAACAAACTAAATATCTCAAGGCAGGTTAGATACCAGTCTGTTTCACTCTAGAACAGCCTGATCACAGAGGGATCAGGCCAAAGTTAAAAAGCCAGTTCTAGTAGAAAAGCGTGATCTCAAGAGAGACAAGTCAAAGGCTGATGAGACACAGCCTCTAATGGAGCAGTCTGGTTCCAGACAGAATCACACCAAAGCCTAGCCTCAGTTTCCGTGGAAACAACCCAGTTCCAGATGGAATCTATCAGAAAGCTAATGCAGCTCAGCAAAGAAGCCTGGTGTCTCTAGGGAGTCAGGCCAAAGTGTCAACTGAGCTTACAAATGAACAAACAAGCAAGGTCCTTTAACAACAACAACAACAACAACAAAGAATCCTCTAAACAGTTCCTGAATAAAGCCCGGGAAGCTTCAGAACACAGAATCAGAATCTGGGTTCCAGAAGACCTGCCTAAGCCCCCACGCTGGACAGCAGTGAGCCCAAGTGGCTCTGTGGGGCACCAGCTCCTGGTTGCTCACCTGCCCTGAAGCTGTTTGGGTTACTTCTCTGGAATCCCAAATGGGCCCCCAAAATGTCAACCATAAAACAAAAGTCAACTAGGTATTCTGTCACAAAGGATTTATTCAGGAAAAAGAAAGGATTGCAGTCTGGTACCTGCAGACATGATGAGCCAAGTTCACAAATTGCTTGAAAAAAGATGGAGGAAGTACTTTATAGAGGGGAAGAGGAAGTTAAGGAGAGGGATTTACAACCACAGACCTCTGTTGTAAACAGAGTTCTTCCCATAGGGCTCTCAGGATGACATACTTGTGATAGCTTCTCCCACAGCCCCTCCTGATTTCTGCCTAGGTTAAGGTCTCTGTCATAAAATTTAACAGTAACATTTAAATAAAACCCTGAAGGAGGTATAATTTGTGGGGGGAAGAGATTATACAGGGAGCAGGGACGAGTCCAAAGGCCCTGAAGTGGGATTGTGCCTGGTGTGTTTGAGGAACCACAACTTGGCCAGTGTGGCTGGAATGTGAGCCAGATGTGAGCAAGGGGGAGAGGAGTACAGGGTAAGCCCAGAGAAGTAATGGGGTGTCAGATCCTGCAGGGCATTGCAGACTGTGGTCAGGTAGGAGCCACTGGAATGTACTGAGTCAAGAAGGGGCATGGTCTCACTTAGGTTGTAACAGAAGCGTCTTGGCTGTTCTTCAGGTCTTTCACCCAGTTTTATTGAGATATAATTGACATACATCATTGTATAAGTTTAAGGTGTACAATATAATGGTTTGACTTATGTATATTGTGAAATAATTACCGCAGTAAGTTTAGTTAGCATCCATCATCTCATACAGATACAACAAAAAGCAAAAAAAGAAAAAAATTTTCCTTGTGATAAAAACTCTTAGGATTTAACAACTTTAACATATACCATACAGCAGTGTTAGCTGTAGCCATCCTGTTGTACATTACTTCCCTGGTACTTACTTACCTTATAACTGGAAGTTTGTACCTTTTGACCATCTTCTTCTGATCTCCCCTCCCCCCACCGCCAGCTTCTGGTAGTCACAAATCTGATCTCTTTTTCTATGAGTTTGTTTGTGGTTGTTGTTGTTATTGTTGTTTTTTAGATTCCACATATAAGTAAAGTCATTCAGTATTTACCTTTTTCTGTTCCTCAGCTTCTGACGCCATACGCTGAAGCGTCCTTGTGTGCCAAAGCCGCTATGGATGTATCTTTGTTTCCAAGCTTCTTCTGACATTTTGGTGTGGTTTTCACTCAGGGGATGGGGCACATTGGGCTGGAGTGTGTGAGGAGTGAAGAACGGATGGTAGGCAGGGCAGATGGAGAAGTGCTATGGATGTGCTGCGCTCCCACCTGCATGGAGACAAGACAGTCAGTCACTGAACCCTTCAGACCTCTGTCTCTTTTACAAAAATGGGTGAATTCCACCTGTTCTGCCAGTGCTGGCCAGGGCTGTCATCAGGGTTCAGACAGTGCAGAGTGCCTCATCACCAGCCTCATCCTCAGCATGAGTCTCCTCTAAACCATCATGCCAAGCCTGGGTTTGGCTGATGGTGCTAGCAGGAGCTGTGTCCCTGGCACTGACTGGGTGCACAAGGAGGCAAGCGCTGGTATGGACTCAGGTGCCCAGACCCCCAGCACTCCAGAGAGTTCTAGCTGTGTGTTCCCACTCTAGCAGTGTCCTCAGAGAGCAGCAGGGGAAAGGCTCTCCACTTTCCAGGCCAGGAGGGGAAAGGATGTAAGTTCCACAGAAGGAGCTCTCCGCCCTCGTGTCTCCNAGAGAGAGAGAGAGAGAGAGAGAGAGAGAGAGAGAGAGAGAGAATCTGATAATTGAGATGCTCCCAAACAGTTGGATTTTTAAACTCTCCTTTAAGACTTTAAAAGCTATGTCATCCTGTTCTTCCCATAAAATTGGGTCAGGACTGTCATTCTTTAGTAAAACATACAGAGGTTTTTCATAAGAGAGAGGTTTAGAGTCCAATTTTGGCAACAGTCGACTAGCCCAAGAAAGCCTTGGAGTTGATGCTTAGTTTTTGGCCTTGGGAAACTTAGGACACTGTGAAGCCTATCTGGATCCCGATGTCGTCCTTGTTCCAATATAAGATGTCCCAAATATCAAGAAAAACTACAGTTTTTTCTTTAGAGACTTTATGCGCCTTTAAAGCCAAAAGTTCTAACAAGTAGATGCTATATTCCTCTGCGGAGACCTTGAAGAAAGAGCAAAGAAGGAAGTCTTCCACATATTATAACAAAGTAGAACTTTGAGGGAAGGTTATATCATATCATCCAAATCAGCCTTAAGGGCTTGTGGAAAATAAGAAGGGTTCTCAATGATACTCTGAGGCATCCGCTGTCCAGGTGTATTGTTTTCCTTCCCAGGTGAAGGAGAAAAGGTATTGGCTAGCTTCATCAACTGATGAATGCAAGGCAACTAAAGAATGCAAGGCATAAACCAATTACAGTATAGAATTTACTTCCAGTTGGGATGGATGTTAGCAGTGTGTGAGGGTCAGGAACGACAGGGTGTTGAGGGATAACAATGGTGTTCATTGCTCGAAGGTCCTGGACAAACCTTCACCCTCCTCCCTTTGGCTTTCTCACAGGTAGAACGGGAGTGTGACAGGGACCGGTGCGAGGAATAATCAAGTCCTGAATTGTGTAATCTTCTATTATGGGCTTTATACCTTGAAGAGCCTCTTTACTTATGGGATATTGATCAATTCTGGGAAGGGGTTTTGAACGGTTTATTTGAATCTCGATAGGAGATGCACTGTGGATTCTGCCTATAGCAGATGAAGATTTTGCCCATGAAGAGGATGGCAGTTGATCCAGTAGAGACAATTGATCAGTGCTTCCAGATTCAGCTAAAGCTCCATCAAAGATAAGAGTAAAAGATGTCGAAAGTTAATTTAGTTCACCTGATTGGCTATTTTGACAGCTATGTCAAATTCTAGTATTATTTCCTTCTTTTGGGAGAAAGAAATTCTGGGGTGATACTTCTCTAGGAAATCTCAGCCTAATAAATGAATGAGGCGGGGGAACTAAGAAGAAAAGGGTGAGACTCTCTCAAAGGACCTAAGCATAAAGGGATAGGTTCAGAGACAGGAATCTGCTGAGGTTTACTTGAAATCCCTACTTATTGAACTGTTTTAGTACTTTGACGCAGGAGCTGGTGTCATAAGGATGTAGACAGATTCATTACCAATTTGAAGAAAAGTTTCTCCAAACTGATTAAGAAGGACAAATTAGGAAAAGCCCATATAGTTCCCTGGAGCCCTGTCATTGGGGATTAGGAGACCTTGGGAAGATTGGTGAGAAGGCTGAGGGTGCCTGAAGCACTGAAACTTATGATAATCCCTTTCCCAATGTTCTCTCTCTTTGCAATGATAGCAAAAGCTAGGAGACTTTTGGTTTTGTATAGGGGCCTTCATTTGCCAGGACTGAAAATTAAACATCCTGCCAAGCTTACTTCTAGGTGGCTCATGTAGAATACATGCAAGCTGATTGACCAAATTAACCAAATCTGGGGTGGACATAGTTTCCCATTCCATCCTGGTACTTTTAACTAAAAGGGAAAGATCTTGGTTCATCCCATTAATAAAAGCTTATTAAAGATTATCTGAATAGATTCAACATCTGAAGGAAGAACAGAATTTTTTTTATAAATGATCTGAAGTCAGTTGTAAGAGTAATGAACAGATTTGTCAGACTTTTGTGAGCAAGTCTGAATTCTGCTCCAATCAACAGGCTTTGGTAAAGCTACTGTAGTTGCATGATAAAGTTCTCTAGCAGCGGTTCTCAACCTGTGGGTCGCGACCCCTTTGGGGGCCGAACGACCCTTTCACAGGGGTCGCCTAAGACCATCAGAAAACAAAACGATATTTACATTACGATTCATGACAGTAGCAAATTTACAGTTATAGAGTAGCAACGAAAATAATTTTATGGTTGGGGGTCACCACAACATGAGGAACTGTATTAAGGGGTCGCGGCATTAGGAAGGT